TAAAGGTACACTAACACAACACCATGCCTCAAGCTAAAACATTAAAACATAGCCTATTCGCATTTGTCCTCCTCCTCTCATATCAACTCCTTCTTCAACTTTAGGACCTCAGGATAAGGTGGGTCAAACTTCACCTTCGTAGCATCACTGTAAGAAAGCTTCACTGGGCAACCTAATAAACAACACCACACATTTGGCAACAGTAGGTGATTATTTAATAATGCACTAAAAAGATTAAATACCAATGAGCTTACATAGACTATGATCCAAATCATACCATTCTTAGTGGGCATCCCACTAACTAAATACTTTACAAGAACAAAAAGATCCTTTTTCATTGTGATTGCATCGTACCCTTCCCTCACCGCTTCAACCCAGCCACCACGTAAGATGCATCTAACATGGTCCTTAGCCCTGTCGATTGCAAGCAAAGGAATGGAAATCACACATGTGTATTATATTATACTTAACAGCCAAAATAATATGTGGGAGAAAAAAATACTCACCATAAAGTACTTTTCCGGCGAGTCTCCAATATCATAACCAACTCCTTCTCATAGAATCCTCTATATTTATTCAGCTTCACTTGGGAAATATAGTTGAGGAAGCCACACACGTCTGTAATGTCAGTAAAAGAATGTCAGCCATATGGCAAACATTTAGTTTCTTTATTTACTTACAAGATAAACGTTCATAATGGGCTTCAGAAAAGCTAGTATATACCAACCTACAAATCTGTTATCATCCTTCAAACCCCATGGTATATCATACACAGCCTTCAAATTCAAGCTTCTCTCAGGTAAGAGTTGAAAACACTCTCTCAACACGGATGATGGAATGAGCTCCATGTGTTACATTTTGTGAATGCCCTCACCTCCGACTATGACACGCATTCCAGAAATGCTATAACAGCTACCCCTAAACATCCTCCATGTGAACCGTGCCATGGCTTCGTCACTCTTCATGTAGCAAAGCATATGAGTACCCTACAAAACTTACAACCAAATATTAAACACCCCTTACCAAAATCACATACTGATAAAAAGTGCACAGGAACAACCCTCTCATTGTATAACACAAAATCCATTGACATATTCTCCTTCATTGGCCGGTGCTGGTCGCCTATGAAATGGATGACATCCCTAGGGAATATCCTATCAATCTTTACTGTCACCATCTTCATAGCCACACCTGGCTCTAAATCATTGAGAAAAGCCTTTGGAAAAGACTGCATCATTACTAACAAACAACACCTGTGAAGATCAAATTAGCGACTGAGATATAAGCATGAGTAAGACTGTCAGTTAGGAGATTACGATATTGTCTGAATAGTAACAGCAAATAACGGCTCATCAATCGTCTCAACCACCACAAATAACTAATAAAGACACATTATTTATTATAAAAAAAAATAACGGAAACCATACAAAATACCACGCACCTGCACAAAATGGTGATGGCAAGACGAAACCCCTAAACCACGATACACTAAACAAATATAATAGATATATAGAATGTGAGAAGTGGAGAGATGAATAGCTTCATAGATGATGAGTTCGCTATATATACAAATGAAACCACAGATGCAGAACACCACGTGATCGATCACCAAACGGCTTGGACAAAGCCCAACAAATATAATATTTTATTCATATGGAAAGTATGTCGGCTTGTGAACAGTGTTTAGAGTCAAGAGCCGAGGATAAGCCATATAGCTAACGGCTTGCCGGAACAGTATCTAATTATATATTGATTGTTATGACTAAAAATATTTTAATAACATAAATATTATAAATAATAATTAAATATTTTTGTAACTTATCGTGTTTTATATTTTAACATCATTATTACTTATCCTGAAGTGTTTTGATTTTAGAGAATTGTTAAATAAAGTTAACAAAATAAATACTTACATTTTTATCCTTTGATTAGTATTTATCTTATATTTTTAAATTTTTATTCATTTTGAAAAAATTATAATTAAATCTAAAAAAAATTATATGAGGATGCTCCAAAGTTTGATTAAAATAAAGAATCTAAATCTATTTTGTAAGAGGTTGAATTTTTTTTTGGAAGGGAAATGAACCGAGAAGACCATCAAGAGATTGGAAGGAGATGTGGTTTCTTTTTTTGTTTTTTAAATTGAGATTATTTTAGTACTTTCACTAAAAATATTATGGGTTTTAGTATCAAAATTGGTTTTAAATTTTCTCAAAGAATTTAATATAAATGTAAAAGAAACCTTAGGTCGACTGTTAAATTTGATAATATAGAATGGAGGATAAATACAAGGGTTAAGGGTCAAAAATACTCATAAAAATATATTAAAAGTTCACCCAACATCATAAACTTTCTCTAGGTTCAAATCTACCAATCGAAGTTTAAAAAGAAGTTAATAATTCCAACACTGTTACGTCTGTTTTTTTAGCAGTGGGACCCATATTTTTTTTAATGAAAATACCAAAAGACCCCCATTGAAAAAAAAGTTAAAGGTCAGAAATACTCATAAACTTATACCAATGGTTCACCAAACCTATATAATTTTTGATAAAAGTATAAAAATGCCCAAATTTTGAAGGGTTATTGCATTAGAGTGTGTTAGAAATTATTAATTATAATAAATTTTTAATTCCCAATCTTTATAATTAAAAAAGATTATTGATGTTTTTTGATAAATTTTTTCTTGATCAACAATTTTTTTCTTTTTTTATAAAAATCAATCAATTGTAATAGTTACTATATTAATTGTTATGGCTCAAAATATTTTAATAGGATAAATGTTATGCATAATAATTAAATATCTTTTTGTAACTTATCATGTTTTATATTTTAACATCATTATTGCTTATCTCATAGTGGTTTCAGAGAATTGTTAAATTAAGCTAGCAAAATAAATATTCACATTTTATTTCTTTGATTAGTATTCATTTGATATTTTCATATTTTTTATTCAATTTAAAAAATTGCTTAATTCTAGAAAAAAAAATTAAATGAGGGTACTCTAAAGTTTAATTGAAATAAAGAATATAAATCCATCTTGCAAGAGGGTGAGCTTTTTTCTTAAAAAGGAGATGAGCTAAAAGGACCATTGACAGGTTAAAGGGAGATGGTGGCTTCTTTTTTTCTTACTAGGAATATTTTGGTACTTTTATTAAAAAATAGTGGGTTCCATTATCAAAAGTAGCTTTAAATTCTCTTAAAAAATTAAATATAAATGTAAAAAATAATTCAAATTAAATGTTAAATTTGATAACATAGACTGGAGGATAAACATAACTCCATATAATGTTGATACAAGCAACTTATTTTCAAAAGATACCTATAATGTCCGTTAAAAGAAAAGATTGGGAATATAAATAATTAATATTTAAAGAGCAATTCAATTTAAGCTTAAATTTTTTCCATGAGTTATTTTAATTATAAAAATTTATTATAATTAATAATCTTTAACACACTCTAATGTGATAGCCTTTTGAGATTGGGGGTATTTTCATACTTTCATTAAAAATTATACAGTATTTGGTGAACTTTCAATGCGAGTTCATGGGTGTTTTTGACCGTTAAACTTTTTGTTTTAATTAGGGGTATTTTAGTAATTTTGTTCCAAAAATCGTGGGTCCTACTGCTTAAAAAATGGATGTTAACGGCACTAGTATTATTGACCTCTTTTTAAACTTCGATTGGTAGATTTGAACCCAAAGAAAGTTCATGGTGTTGGGTGAATTTTTGGTATATTTTCATAGGTATTGTTTACTCTTAACCCTAAATACAATTCCATGGGTTGTTGATACAAGCAACTTATTTTTAAAAAATACCCATAATATAATATCTACTAAAAAGAAAATTGGGAATATTAATTACTTATCATTGAAGGTTAAACTTTTTTACCCAAGTTATTTTAATCATAAAATTTTTTATAACTAGTAATTTCTAGCACACTTTAATGCAATAGCCCTTCAAGATTTGGGTATTTTGGTACTTTCATAAACATTATATGGCATTTGGTGAATTTTGTGTATAAGTTCATGGGTATTTTTTGACCCTTAGCTTTCTTCTAATTAGGGGTATTTTGGTGCTTTCATTAAAAAAAAAAATGGGTCCCACAATCAAAAAAAGGATGTTAGTTAATTTTGATGGTATTGGCGTTATTGAACTCTTTTTAAACTTAAATTGATACTGGGTAAATTTTTGACATATTTTCATTAGTATTTTTGACTCTTAATCATAATTATATATTGATAATACAGTTCATTTGGCTGAAAAAAATGAGTTTTTTGATAACAATGTGAAAGCCTATCGCAGTTTGAGTCATCGGTCAACTATTTACTTTGTCATTTTAATATCTTATTGTCTATGCAAAAGTCTTGTTGAAATGACATGTCATGCGGGACAACTTTTTCTTTTTTTATTATAGAAGTCTTTAAGTCAACCTTCAAGTATAGCCCCACAATTTCTGGGCCAAAAAAAAAACCCCACAAGTACCTCATAAACAAGCTATCAGTAAGCACCCTGAAACTTGTCATTATTGATATAGATTGTCGAAAAGTATCAATATTTTTTTTAACTGAGATTATTTTAGTATTTTCATTAAAAATATTATGGGTTTTCCTACCAAAGTGATTTTAAATTTTCTCAAAGAATTTAATATAAAGTAAAAGAAATTCTAGATTGACTGTTACATTTGATAATATAGACCGGAAGATAAATACAATTCCATAGGTTGTTGATACAAACAAGTTATTTTTAAAACATAATATCTATTAAAAAAGGATTGGGGATATTAATTACTTATTGTTGAAGCTTAAACTTTTTTACCCAAGTTATTTTAATTATAAAATTTTTTATAACTAATAATTTCTAACATACTCTAATGCAATAGTCCTTTAAGATTTGTGGTATTTTGGTATTTTCATAAAAATTATATGGTATTTAGTGAATTTTTGGTATAAGTTCATGGGTATTTTTTGACCTTTAACTTTTTTTTAATTAGGGGTGTTTTGGTACTTTCATTAAAAAAGTTATGGGTCCCACAATTAAGAAAATGGATGTTACTTCATTTTCACGGTGCTAGTGTTATTGAGCTCTTTTTAAATTTGGATCGATAGATTTGAATCTAAAAAAAGTTTATAGTACTAGATAAACTTTTAGTATATTTTTATAGGTATTTTTAACCCTTAACTCATAATTATCTATTGATAATACATTTCATTTGGCCAAAAAAATAATTTTTTTGATAACAATCTGAAAGCCTATGCAGTTAGAGTCCTTGGTCAACTATTTTTACTTTGTCGTCTTAATATCTTAACGTCTATGCAAAAGTACTGTTGAAATAGCACATATGGGACAATCTCTTTTTTTTTCTTGATTATAGAAGTCTTCAATTCAACCTTTAAGTATAGCCCCACAATTTCTGACCCCGAAAAAAAAAAACGCCACAATTACCCCGTAAAGAAACTATCAGCAAGCGCCCAAAAACTTGCCATTATTGATATAGATGTGAAAAAGTATCTGTATTTTTTTTAACTGAGATTATTTCAGTACTTTCATTAAAAATATTGTGGGTTTCACTACCATAACTGATTTTAAATTTTATCAAAGAATTTAATATAAATGTAAAAGAAATTTTAGGTCGACTTTTAAATTTGATAACAGAGAGTGAAGAATAAATCATATTCTATAGGTTGTTGGTACAAACAACTTATTTTTAAAAAATATTCATAATATAATATCTACTAAAAAAAGAGTGGGGATATTAATTACTTATCGTTGAAGCTTAAATTTTTTTACCCAAGTTATTTTAATTATAAATTTTTTTATAAGTAATAATTTCTAACACACTCTAATGCAATAGCCCTTTAAGATTTGTGGTATTTTGGTACTTTCATAAAAATTATATGGCATTTGGTGAATTTTTTGTATAAGTTTATGGGTACTTTTTGACCCTTAACTTTTTTTTAATTAGGGGTATTTTAGTACTTTCATTAAAAAAAGGATCTCACAAACGAAACAACGGACGTTAGTTAATTTTAGCAGTGCTAGCATTATGAATAACTTTATTATATAAATTAATATAATGAACAAATAATTGTATTATATATACACAATATATTAAAGATGTAATATTTGATAAAAATTCAAAATTGACAAATGAATTTATTTGAACACCTCCATTTATGATTATTGACTAAACTAGTGTTGAAGAGAATTTTGAGTTTTAACAAGGATAGAATGAAATTTGATCAAGATATAGATTGATTTCGACATTCAATACAAAGACAAATGGCACATATATACAAAGGTTTTTAAGAAAAAAATTATGTAGCATACATGCGTTAATAGCAGAAGGGTGCTTACTTTAATTATTCAAATCATTATTTTTTTTATATAGAACAATTAATTAGATTTTTCACTAACTATAAATGGTTTTCTTCAAATAAATAAAAAGCACATATACAATATAATGCAATATAATACATATATATAATTAAATTTTATCTATTCAACGTTATTTAAAAATAAATTATATTAGCAAAAAATTATTTACAATATAAAATTCTAAATTTGTTTCATGTAAAATTAATATTATATGTAAAATAATTTCTGAGTGAAATAAAATATTATAAAATAAACACCAATATAAATATTAAAAAACTATTTTTTCATATCAATAATTAAATTAAAATTATTATATAATTTATTTTTATTTTTAATAATATGGTTGTTCAAAAAAAAAGAATATGACATATATTTAATTTTGTGTTAAAAGATTGCGATTTCTTTGGAGCTGAAGCTAAAGTGGCAAATACTCAGACTTGCACAGTCTACTTGAGGTGAGGGTTAGCTGTAATTGGAGTAATAGATATAGTGATCCCTCTGCACCTATTCAATATCTAAAAGCTCTAAAACGTTATGAAATTTATTGGCCAAAAAAAAACATTATTAAATTTCATTAAATCCTTTGGGCCAAAGTGAAATTAAAATTTTCTTATGTATCATCGTTAATTTCTTTATATTTTTTATAAAAGTAAAATTCCAAATAAAGATACTTAAATAGTCTAAATTTTTATTTGAATCAGTAAATTTGTTAAGCTCCTAATCAAGTCACATGACTCAAAAAGAGATATTATAATTTTATGAAATGCCTCTAATATTATTTTCATTAGAAGCGAAAAAAAATTCTAAATGAACATGTTCCATTTTACAATTAATATGTTTTAATTCTAAATTAATAATCTATTGCCTCCATAATACACTTGGAGTAAGTCTTTGAATAAAACTTATTAATCATAATAAAATCTTAAAAATTAATAAATTTAACTATGCAGTTAACAAGTTTCAATTTTAAATTACTAGCTTTATGTCTCCAAAATACATTTGCAATAAATCTCTAAATAAAACTTGATCATAATACAACTTTAAAAATTAATATATTTTATTTCATAATTATAATATTTTAATTCTAAATTCATAATTTTCTGTCACCATAACACTTGAAATAAATCTTTAAATAAAACTTGATCATAACATAACATTAAAAATTAACCTGTTCCATTTCACAGTTAATATATTCCAATTCTAAATTAATGACTTTATGTTTCCTTAACACACTTATGATACTATGAACAAAATTTTATGACAATACAACTTTAAAAATCAATATTTTTTATTTCACAATTAACACGTTTCGGTTGCAAATTAATAACTTTATATCTCCATAACATGCTTATAGAATTGAGGAAGAAATATTTTAATATAAAAACTAACATATCACTGCGTTCTTGATTGATTCTTCGACTTTGCAATGGCATACGCTAAATTTTCCTTGTTAAGAGCTCTTAGGCAATGCAAGAATGATAGAAAATCTTCATCGCTAAAGGTTTCTACTGAAAGGGGTATTATAGTTATTTCATAAAATTTTAAAATCCCTCTTTTGGTTCATGTGACCTGATTAGCCTCACCGTAAAGAAGACGGAAGAAAGGAAAAAAGTGGAATCAGACAATGACCCAAATAAAAATTTAACTTATTTAAGCATCTTTTTAAGGGATTTTTTCTTTTATAGATTGTCTAATTTTTATTGTAAACCTACCTATATTTCTTGTAAATCCGTGGTGGGTGATTCTCTTTCCAAAAATAAAAAAATAACGGTACAAATGTCTTTTCACGCATAAAATTTAATTTCATTTTGGTTCACGGGTATAGTAAAATTACATAATGTTTCGAGAGTTTTTGGATGCATTTTAATTAAATAGGTATAGAGGTGTGCAGTGAAATTCTTCCTAATTTTATCCTCAGATATTACTTAGATATTGCATTTTTTTTGTGAAACAATCGACCTTGCTTTAATTGAATCTGTTTCGTTTTCCGGTTTTAGTCTGCATGCTCTTTCTATTTCACGCATGATAAGATATAAATGCTTTTGTTTTCTTAAAAAAAAAATCCTTTTTACTGATCCCGGGCAATGATTATTTATAATTATTTGATAATTTCTTTTCTTGTGTGGTAGATAATATGTTTAGAACATTTCTTAGTCTTTCACATGGCATGATCTAAACCATCCCTACAAATCCAATATAATATAATTTATGAGTAATGAATAATATGACTTGTTTACCTCATTATATATATTTATATATTGATCGCACAATTCATTGGGCCCAAAAAAGAGGTCTTTGTAACGAATGTAAAAGTCTATAGTAGTCCAAATAACACGTTATGCGTAAAATCCATGAAGGAGTGTTTAGTGACAATTTTTCCAGTTTTTCTAAATCTAATATTTAAAGCTAGGAGTCGTATTACTTTGTGGCTTTTGGTATCTTCACCGACTTCACATCTATTCAAAGTCTTCCAAGTCAACCTTCGCGTGTATAGCCTACAAACAACCCCACAAACAAACTAGCAGCAAATTTTGACTTTATCTCTCTTTAATGTCCGTATGTTTGGTATGAGGACAAGGAAAGGGAGAAGAGAAAATTTTTAATAGGCTTAATTTAAAAGTTGAAAAAATAGAGTTAACAACTTTTAATTAATTTTTTTACTCTTTTTTTTTCTGCCGTTCCGTCCATTCCCCTCATACTAGACATAGAGAAAATTATTGAAACGTGTTGTGAACCGCGACTTTGCATTTAGAAAAGTCTCCGAGTCTATGGCCCCACAATGAATTCTATAAATCTTACCATCCATTTTTCACTCCCTCACGCCTCAAGCACATCTCATGGCCAATCTAGCCTCCACGTAGAGTTGCCTTTTTTTTTTTTTTATTTGTTAAATTCCTAAAACTACTACCTTTGGTACTTAATATAAGAGTTAGATAATTAATTTGTCAATATTATAAAAATTAATTAAGCTAGTTATTTATAATAAACTGATATTGTCTTTTTCAAAATATCCTTATTAGTTATATACTTTAAGGGAGTGTTTGGATAGAAACCAAACCATGGTTTCAGAAGTGCTTTTATGGATTACGAAGTAAATATGTGAAGGAGGTTACCTCGTTTTGTGGAAAAGTGCTTCTGAAACCACGGTTTTGGAGCATCCAAACAGGCCCTAAGAAGAAAACATTTTATCATATGCAATCACCATAAGCACTACTTTAAAGAAAAATAAATAAATATGTAAAACAAAATAGCTCGTGATCTTATATTTATGATCAAATTAAATTTTTAACTAGTTATTATATTTAGGACTGAACGTAACAAATTGTTAGGAGTAAATTTTGGGTTAAGTGCTGACATTAAAAAAAAAAATTATACAGGTGGCACACTTTGATTGGAGTAATGGATATAAGGAACCAAATTAACTTGATCTAAATGTTATCCTTAGATTTTACTTATATATTCATTTATTTTTCAGAAAATGTTAATTAAATTCAATTGAAATATTAAAATTTAGGTTCAACATATGTTTTTAACAAATTTCTAATTACAAATTAAGAATTTTTAAATCTTATAAATTTTCTTGCCCCCTCCTCTCTCAATCAGAAATCCCTCTTCCAGTCTTAAATCAGTATGGTCATTTAACAAGATTTGAAAATTCCTAATTAGTCTTGTTCGATTAGAAATTTTTAAAAATGTAGGTCCCAATTTGAATTTTGTTATTTTAGCTATTCATTGGAACTTTTCCTTCTTCTTTTTTTTTGTTTTTTGTGAAACAATCGACGTTACTTGAACTAGAGTTGTTTTAATTTATTTTCAAATTTTAGTCTGCAAGTTCTTCTTATTTCATAGATCATAAGATATAACATGCTTTTCTTCTCCAAAACGTTTTTACTGATTTTGGGCACTTTTCTTTGATAATTGCTTTTCTTGTGCGGCAGAAACTGCTGAGAACATTTCTTTGTCACACGGCGTGATCTGAGCTATCCCTTCAAATCCAATTAAACACCTATTTTCGTATGTGGCTAATCACTTTTTCTTATATATTATACATGATTTGAGAGATGAAGCATATTATTTATGATTTATGAACAATATGACTTATTTACCTTATTATACATATATATTATTATATATTGACAATACAATTCATTTGGCTCAAAAAATAATTTTTTTGATAACAATGTGAAAGCCAACATAGTTGTTGAAATAACAAGTTATGTGTGACGACTTTGATTTTTCTTCATTACAAAAGTCTTGCAAGTCAACCTTCAAGCATAGCCTCACAATTAACCCCATAAACAAGCTATCAGCAAGCACCACAAAATTTGTAAATGTTGATAATTTGCTTCGAAAGCATTTTTCATTTTCTTGTGTACATTTTGGCTGTATCTCTCTTTATAATATCTACATAAAAGTCTAAAAATTGTTGAAGCGTGTTCTGAACGATGACTCTGTATTTACAAGAGCCTACAAGTCTATGGCCCTACAATTCATTTTTCACTCTCTCACGCCTAAAGCACATCTCTTGAGCATTATATATGTATTGCTAGTTCTCTACTTCTGAACCTATAATTGAAGATACTGTCATTATAATGGCCTTTATCTGGAAGTTTTTCTATGCGTTATTTGCATTGCTGCTTCTGTTACATACGAGTTTCAGTTTGGCTGAAGGAGCAAAGTGCGTAGAGAATGAGAGAAAAGCTTTACTCTTATTCAAACAAGGAATCGTGCAAGACGACTCTGGAATGTTATCAACATGGAGAGATGGAGATCATGAAGACTGCTGCAACTGGAAAGGAGTTTATTGTAGTAATGAAACAGGTCACATTCAATTCCTTAATCTTCGCAGTTCATTTCCTTTGAGTGGTAAAATTAATATTACTTCATTGAGTGAATTCCATGACATGGAATATTTGGATCTCAGTGGCAATGATTTCTACCCAAGTGAAATCCCAGAGTCCATAGAGTCCTTTACCAAGTTACGATATCTCAATCTCTATTTCTAATTTTGTTGGAACTATTCCTTCTCAATTGGGGAAGCTTTCAAGTTTAGTATATCTTGATCTGAGTTACAATAGATTGGTTGGAGATCTCCCTTGGACGATTGGAAACCTTTCAAAGCTGCAACATCTCTATCTTGGATCTAATTCTATTGGTGGAGTAATCCCTTTCCAGCTCGGAAATCTTTCCATGTTGCGAACATTACAGCTTGGCGGTAATTCTAATCTCACATTTGATCAGCAGAGCAATCATGATGCAAAGTGGCTATCTGAGCTTTCTTCGCTATCAAGTCTTGACTTGAGTTCTGTGAGTGACGTTGGCTATTCTCATCTCTGGCTACAATTGATTGGTGAACTGTCAAAACTTAGAGTTTTGCGACTAAGTGGATATGGCATTTCTTATACCCATAATCCTTCTTTGACTTCTTATCCTTCAAATTATTCCTCTTCTCTTGTTATCCTTGATCTCTCTGGAAATAACTTGAACTCAGCATCATTTCAATGGCCCTTCAATTTGAGCTCCAACCTTCGAGAGCTATACCTACGTGATTGTAATCTTTCAAGTACTGATCTTCATTTTACATTTTCCAATTTTCAGCTTTCTTCTCTCATCGTCCTTGACCTTTCTTACAATAACCTGATGTCACTAACAGCACTGAACTTCGGCTCCAATCTACAAGTGCTTAATTTGCAAACTTGTAGCCTTTTATCTGATAATCTCATTTTTACAGCTTTCAATCCCAATCTCACTTCTCTTGTCCAGCTTGATTTCTCTTATAATTTATTGACATCATCATCCACATTCCATTGGATTTCTAACTTCACCTTTAATCTTCGTGAGATTCAACTTCTTGAAAACTTGCTGGAGGGTCCCATTCCAAAAGGTTTTGGAAACATAATGAACTCTCTAGAAGTCCTTGATCTCTCTGGAAATAAGCTATGTGGTGAAATACCAACATCACTTGGGAATATATGCACTTTGAAGCACTTATATCTTTCACACAATAACTTTAGTGGGGAGCTTTCAAGTTTCATCCGAAACACTTCCTGGTGCAGTAGTCATCAGCTACAGTCGTTGTAGTTATCTAACAATCACTACAAAAAAATTGACTTTCAGCGGGTACAAAAGTCGCCGCCGAAAGTTTTTTGCGGCGACAAGTCGCCGCTGAAAAGTCGTTGCCGTAGCAGCCGTGGCTGAAAACTTTCAGTGGCGACTAAAAAGGTCGCCGTTAAAAGATACTTTCAGCGGCGACTTTTAGAAGTTTCAGCAGCGACAAATGTCGTTGCCGAAAACACTTTCGGCGGCGACATTTGTCGCCGCTGAAAAGCCTTTCAGCGGCGACAAAAAAGTCGCCGCAGAAAACACTTTCGGCGGCGACACTCTTTTTGGTGTCGCCGCCGAAAGTGGACTTTCAGCGGCGACTTTTTTGTCGCCGCCGAAAATCGTCGCCTAAAGTCTATTTTTTTGTAGTGAATCAAATAAAGGGCATGTCAACCAATCTCTTTATTTTCTCCTTTTTGGAATATCTAGATCTCTCTAACAATCAATTAAAAGGAGAAGTACCTAAAAGCATCGGATTGCTATCTCAATTGAATCGTTTGTGGCTAGATGGAAACAATTTAGGAGGTGTAATAACTGAATCTCATTTCAACAAGCTCTCTAATTTGAAGGGGTTATCACTGTCTGGCAATTCATTAGCCCTGCAAATTAGCACTAGATGGATTGCCCCATTTCAGTTGGAAGATTTGGAAATGGCTTCTTGTATGTTGGGTCCTTATTTTCCTAATTGGCTCCATAATCAACACAAGTTAGAGAGATTGGATATTTCTAATTGTGGGCTTTCAGGTTTCATACCAGAATGGTTTTGGCCACTGATAAAATATGCGGTTTCCATGAACATCTCATATAACAATTTTGTTGGTGAAATTCCAAATTTATCATTGAAGCTCAGTACTGGAGCAATATATTTGACATCAAACAACTTTGAAGGTGCAGTTCCATCATTTTTTTCACGGGTATCAACACTTGATCTTTCAGAAAACAAATTCTCAAATTTGGTCCCACTTCTATTTGATCAAATTGAAGACAATGAAGACGTGGGCATTTTAGACACATCAAACAATCGATTAGAGGGACATCTACCTGATTGTTGGAGCCATTTGAGCTTGTTAACGTTTGTTGATTTGAGCAATAATAACCTGTTCGGAGTGATGCCAACCTCTATGGGATGACTTGTGAATTTGGAGGCTTTGGTTTTAAGAAACAACAGCCTAGTTGGAGAACTTCCTTTTTCTTTAACAAATTGCTCCCAGTTATTGCTCTTAGATGTGTCTGAAAATAAGCTGTTAGGGTCAATACCTTCATGGATTGGAGAAAACCTTAGACAATTGCAAATTCTAAGCTTAAGAATGAATAATTTATATGGCAGAATACCTTTGCATCTTTGTCACTTGGGCCATATTCGGCTCTTGGACCTATCTCATAACAATTTGTCCAATGAAATCCCATCATGTCTTCAAAATTTTAGTGCTTTGGTACATGATGACTATATCGACTTAACTCCTCATTCATATGAGTTCAATCAGACAGGTATACGTAGGGGATCTACCTCTTTTTTTTTTTGAATTCTACGTAACATTGATGTGGAAGGGTAAAGATGACTTGTTCAAGAGGCTAGAACAACTTCTTAAAAGCATTGATCTATCTAGCAATGCTCTCACTGGTGAAATACCCAAAGAAGTTGTATCTTTATTGGGATTGGTTTCTTTGAATCTATCGAGAAACAAATTAAGTGGAAAAATTCCTCCTAAGATTGGAAACCTAGGATCATTAGAATTCTTAGATTTGTCAAGAAATAGATTATCAGGTCCAATCCCTCAAAGTCTTGCTCATATTGATCGCCTTAGTGTGTTAGACTTGTCAAACAATCATCTTTCCGAAAATATCCCAAAAGGCACACAATTGCAGAGTTTTAATGCCACAAGTTATGAGGGAAATCTTGATCTCTGTGGAGCGCCACTTAACAAAAAGTGTCTTGATGATGATGAAACACCCTCACCTCAAACATCTAATCATTATGAAGATGATGATGACGACTCATATTTCACTCAGGACTTTTACTTGAGCTTGGGATTGGGATTTGCTTTTGGATTTTGGGCCTTCCTTGGACCATTGCTCTTCAATCGCACTTGGAGACAAACCTATTATACATTTGTAAGAAGAGTTACAGATAGAGTCCAGATCTTGATGGCCATTTATGTGTCAAGGTACCTCACGAACAGATAGGTAATAATATAAAGTAATAATGTTTTCTTGTTTTTGCACTAGTGACATTTTCAAAATATGTGATGCACTATCATGTTTCTTGCAGAATCTGCAACTTATTTGGCTTGGTGTACGTAGGATCATCCTTGGTGGTTAATAATTTGTGAGTCCAAGTAAAAACCGTTGGTTGTATGAGTTTGCTATATTATATGTAATCTAATCTACTTTTAATAATCTTCATTACTAGCATTATATTCAATCGAGCTATTGCTTTTCTATTGCCTTGTAAATCTTTTCTGTTGTATACAAACTGGGGCTGATAGCTTGATGATTCGTATGAATGTTTGTCTGTTCGGTTATATGATTTCTATTGGATAAATGTGGGCACCCTGTACAAAAGTTGGTAGCTTAGCTTCTTACAATTTAAGTTTACTGTTTTAATTTTGATTCTATATATTCTTGGTTGCTGCTATTTATTACTAAATTGTTGATTACAAGTATGCTTAAGGCAGCAGATATGAAATTTGTCAAATATTTATATGTGAACGAAAATTAACCAGTAGCCGCTTTGTGTTGAATTGATCATCTTGAGCCACTGATGAAAAATCATTATTGCTTGAAGACAAAAAGAAAAAAAAAATGGAAGTCCATGATTTTTGGAAACAAAAACGAAAAAAAAAAAATTATGAATGTTTATTGTGGCATTGGGAAAAACAGTTTTTTTTTTATATATAATCTTATTATGTGCTACTAATTTTCATGTGAAGGATCTGAGCATACAAGTCGTAATAGTAATAAGAGCAGCAAGATGTATTTTCAAGTTATACAAAAGGAAATAAATAATCTGCAGCATAAACTTGTTAATTAATGAAAGTCCGAATTCAACTTGAAAAGTGTAATAAAGTTGTTAATTATACAACAGTTTCGTAAGAATTATGTGGTTTGGACAGAAACAATATTGGACCTTTATTTGAAGCCTGTGAGGAACTCAGAATCCTTGCTTAAAGTTTGTTCGGTATATACTATATACATGCTAATTTGCACTTTGCAATGTGGAGTTCCCAAAGAGGACCAAAAATTCAGAAGCTTAGAGTCCCGCATCATGAGCTCATTATAGTTCGTACAGCGGAAGGCATATAAAAATGGAAGCAAGCCGACGTTGAGAAGCACGCAGCCACGCAGCGAGCACAGAGCAAACTATTCTTTCGCCTTTTACTAGAGAATACCGCGTGCAAGCTGCTTCAAGCGGCATATGCCTATCTTTGGAAGGGACCCATTTTTGGGTGGGATCCTACATTTCACCCTTAAAGATTTATGTTGTTTATAATTTTACATTTAGAACTGAAGAAGTATTTTATTAAAATCGGTAAATGATAATTTTTTTTTTTTAGGAAAATATTTAAATAATGCTCGTTGAAGATTTCCCTCCTAAAAAATATTTGGGAAAGATGTGCAATATGAGATAGTCTTTTCTCTTCTTTCTAACCATATGGGAGCTTATAATAAATTAATACAATACTATCTCAGTCTTAAATATAATCCTATATTTAGGACAAATTAGGTCATATATTTAGGATAACAAGTATTAATAAATTAGAAGTCCTGTATGTTATGCGAAAAGAAGATTGTGACATACAAAATGAAAACTACCACTGTGTTCCTGTGCTTTAATCTTGTTTTTAATCTCCAAATTTTCTTGGTCTTCTGTCACTTTTATTAGTTCCGTCTAGAATGCTAGTACTATTTTGAAAAATACTTAGAATGATCATGAGGTAACTTGAAAATGATGTTAATTTTGTCAAAATGGACTTAACACTCTTTAATTCCATCAGTCGATTGGCAACACAATTGCTAGCCTAATAAAAGTTATAAAAATAATAAATAAAAAAATTCATCTGATTAAAAAACCCACCTCCTTAAAACAAAATAAGCACGAATGTGAAGGCCAGTGAACCCAAAAAACACGGGCATTAGACCTCATTAAAATTAACATGTTTGGGCTAGCTGATAGTGTTTTTGAGTATTTTTAAGACAAAACAAATGTAAGAAATTAATTTATTTGAATAAAATATAATTATATATCCAAATTCTAAATCCAATTCACTTTCGGCTAACATTCCATTGAGAAGTCCCCCCCCCCCGGGTGGCCCACTTTGAAATTTATTGCCACATAGAATGACATGTAACATAGTTTGACGGCTCTCCTATAAAAAGTGATTCCCAATTAGATCTTGCTTATTAATGTCTTGCACAAATGAATTAGATCTTCTCTTCTTCTTTTTTTTTTGTTTTACCTGCACCAGACAATTGCTTGAGAAAATGTATTGCATGCCGAAAGTGTACAATTGATACGTGTTCGTGCTGAAATATCCGATTCCAAATAAGTGTAATATCCTTCCACAGTCATAAATTCAAATTTAAATAAACTAAAATAATCAAAACATTCATTGAAATAAAATTTATTGAATCTCAGTTCCAGAGCTATATTAATGAATACCATCACAATCAAATTCAAGATTCCCCACGAATGTTGACTAGAGGTTTGCAGCATTCATGCTAACAAATAAATAAATAAATAGTTAATAGAAATACCAATAATTAATAATCAAATAAAATCATGCCAACATTATTCCCAAAATATAATCACTATCACATATAACACTGCATATTGGGAAATGTAGCAATAAATTGGATCAATCTATACATCATATAAGAATGATATACTAAGGGGTGTTTGGATAGAAACCAAACCATGGTTTCAGAAATGCTTTTACGGATTACGAAGTAAATATGTGGAGGAGATTATCTCGTTTTGCGGAAAAGTGCTTCTAAAACCATGGTTTTGGGTTTCCCAAACACCCCCTAAATGAGGATTCGAAAATAAGACACAGTCAAGCCTCTGATGTCAGAAAATAAGAATGGAATTAGATTCAAACAAGATTTATCAAATTTCCTGTTCTTTCTCAATGTTAGCACGACCTCTACTTCACATATAAACTAAATTAGCCTGTAAAACACAACTCGACCAAAAAAAAAGTACACCTCAAATTTCCAGGGTGGCCGCAGCAAAAATTAAAAGACAGCCACCACACCTATGAATGAGACTCCTAAATTTGAATTTGAAAATTATAATAAAGGAATAAATCAAAAAATTATTCTCTGAATCGCTTAACTTATATACATGGTACAAAAGCTATGGAAAAGATTAAGCTACCTGCTAACTAGCTGTGAGAAGATCAGCAAAAAATGATAAAGCCCATGAATAAAACAGACTCTAAGACTTATTCAATGTAATTGCACTGGGAAGGAATCTAACGCGGCTACATTGTTTTAATTTGGATAAAGCTTCTTTCGGCTTACCAAGCAAGAGATCTACATAAATTGCAGTAATTGTGGCTTCAGGACTGTTTGGCAATATGGATAACGCCTGGGCAACTAATTGATGGGCTTGGTCTAACTCACCCTGCATTGCAGATAATGCCGCAAAATTTGCATAAATTATCCCACGGGCCTCTTCTGGCTTAAGAAAATCTATACGTTGAAAATCGTCAGATGAAGAAATGTTGGCTGGCGCAGATCCTGCAGTTCCATCTTCAAATTCAGCAGTTCTCTCCACCTGCCATTTCTTGCAGTCATCTTGACTGAAAGGCAATTCAATAGCGTATCCCCCAGACAAATAAATTGACAAATGCTCGGCAGCTTCTTTTGGTCTATTTAGCAAGCAGAGTGCCTCTGCTGAATAAACATGGCCTAGAAAGAGATAAATTCTAGAGCATTCTGGAAGTTCCAGAAGAGATGTTGCAACTGACAGTGCCTTAACAGGGTTGTCTAATTCCAATTCCACATATGCCAGGTTAGCAAGCGCTACCTGCTTAATCAATAAATTTTCTCTTCTGCACATATCTTCATAATGGGACAGGGAGCTCTGAATGACCTCCTGATTAGTACCTCCCTTTTGCTCTTTCACGTCCCCATTTGAATTAGCCTGACCTAAGCTTAATGCTAATGAAAATGCCTTGAAATTGATTCCGAGTAAATTCTTATTGTTTGAATTGCCGGATGACACATCACCTGAATGATTTTCCTCACTTAACGAATTGAAAGGCAAGCCAGACTTTAAATTATCCGTCTTGTTGGAATCCAGCAAGTACAGGACATTTAACAGGAACTGCCGGGCCAGAGACATCGATAAATTCAGCTGCACATCATTTTTGAGATGACAATCATATCTGTCAAGCAACTCTGCACATCCATTTCTCGGAATCTCATTGTTCAGTACAAGTTGCCTCCATTTTCCCTTCCCAACAACATGAACTCCAACTTCCAATCTTGTTGGTAAAACACGGCTTGATTTAATTAGGCCCTTTTCCAAAGCCATCAGACAGCATTCAGCGAGCCGAAGCCACAAGAGAGGCTTATTGTAGAAGACCATACTAGACTTCTGAAAACAGCGAGCAGCAAGTAATGGCTTTCCACAAGCCAAGTACTGCATACCACAATTATATACTATAAGAAGGGCGTTATCCTGAGAAAAAGTGGGCATCTTTAGCGGTTGGTTCTTCCTAAGGGACGAACAATTTGTCAATGCCTTAGAGAAAAACAAAGATGATGTCTGGTATTTCCCAAGCTGATAGTAAATGCAACCAAGATTGTTGTGGAAAATGCTCAAAAATGCAGGGTCAGTCCTGTTGTTTGATACCATCAATAGCTTGATTGCTTTGCGGTGGTTATGACGAGCATATTCAAGCTGAGATTTCAAAAGAAGAGCCATTGAAGAATCTCTTCCACGTGCAATGTTCATAGCGAGCTTCACTTCACGTTTGGCTAGCTTCAAATTCCTGGTTAGCAGCAAAAATTCAACCTTGTAAAGTTGGAGTTTAAGCTTCAACTCAACATTAGAAAACCTATCAACCAATGCCATTGATAGATCATTTGATGATAAGCCAGCTGGGCTGGTTAAATTCTGTCCACCCATATCCAGCATCAGGGCTTCATAACCAAGGGCCTCTTCAGAAAAAGCCCTAGACAGATTATTTTCAGATGCATTAGCAGCAGGCCCCAGATCAGAACTAGATGTATCTGCAGCTGATGGACCACTAGGGATTGATGAAGACTTGGTGATTAGGTTTGCAGATTGTTGCTGTGCTGTGTTTCCATTGTCGCCTTGACTCGCATTACTAAGACTAAATGCCCTTTCCAAATAAGACAAAACATCCTAATAAAACAGATTCCACCATCAGAACTTCGCACTTCTGAAAAGCTAAATAGGAAAAAAAATTCTATAAGCACTCAGTCATTTTATGCCCAGAAAATATTTTTACTAACAAATGTACTTAGCTGATCATCAAAATCTCATCAAAATATGCTCATGATCTGGAATGTGAAGAAAAAATTCCCCTAGTATATTCCTTTGTTTCTTCACAAATCACAATAACTCTTGGAATATTCATAACCCATATTATACACAATTATAAATACCATATCGAACAATGTTTAAAATATGTTTGTCATTTTTATGAATGATTACTCTCGTTATACTTGCTATGCTTGCTTGACCTTGACACAGTGGACACAAAATAAACTCACAAGTATATAAGTAATACTTATATCACAGTATATTTCAAAAATAAAAACTCAGTCTCACTCAATACTCAAATGTTCATATACCTACACCACCTAACATATACAACTCAGGGTCAACACCTCATTAATAACACTTCCAGTCCCTGGTAATAATTCTGAAAAAAAAAAATATATATATATATATATATATAAATGACAAAGGCCTCAACAAATGAACTAGTTTAATTATAAAATATAACTTACAGCTGATTTTGATGCATCACAGCAAGCAAGGCTAGCATCAAGCAGCAGCAGGCATACGTGTAGAGCTGTTGTCTGCTTTTTGAAAGAGAACCCAGAAAAATACAAAACCAAGGCAGTCAACACATTGCAACTTCCAGAACAATACAACATTTAATCAATTCTTGATATACCTCATCTATGGGTTCAATATTTTGATAGAGGGGTTCCAAAACTGATAATGTCTTTCTATACTCGTGGAGATGGTACCAAATGATGGCCTATAGAGATTAAAATCACAAAAAGCAAAAAAATATATATATACACAAATAAATTTATATGCCCAAATTGAAATATATAGATATTTTGAAAACAAATTTTTCAAGTAATAAAGAGTAACCAACGTACAATATTTAGTATTGCCACAGATGAGTCAAACCCATCCGTATATGTTGTAGTGGTGCTATGTGCACCTGAAAACTGATGTG